AAGCCTGTCAGCTGTTTCTGCTCCCCATTGCACCATAGACTAGTTGCTACGACCATTAAGCTCCCATTTTCCCTTCTGCTCCCCATTGCACCGTAGACTAGCTGCTACGACCATTAAGCTCCCATTTTCCCCGGTGTCCGTAGAAGGAGTACTTCCTTGGCATGCATGAGGTTGATGGTATCATGATAAAAATCTTAAATCTATACCCACATTGCATTTAGTAAAATATGTAAGATCTATATAACACTTACTGAAGAGATGCTAACTAAGTGACATTTGGGTACTCTATGTAAATGCTTCTTGCACATATTACTGTCTAATGTTTTTTATTTGTCTCAGCTATACTGACTTTTCAGAGCTTGAACACAGTTTGGTTTATTTCTTGCCTTTTCTTGATAAAAGTCTCAGTGATGACAGCAGATCAACACAAAAGATCTGTTTTAGTTGTCAGATAAGAATCTGAAGTTTGATTGATGATTGCAGAAATTTTTATTTGAACTTTGTTAACTTGAAATGCTCAGGACAGGATTCATTTCAAAAAGACTCACTTGCAATACCATAGTGGAAGGTGAGGATGAATGGAGTCACGCTTTAAGCACAGCAAATGGTTCAGTCTTAAAAAGTCCATGCTGGGGTCTGGACATCAAGTGTCCTCTGTTAGTGTTCATTACTGGAGTCATGAAATCTTAAAAAGTCCGTGCTGGGGTCTGGACATCAAGTGTCCTGTGTTAGTGTTCATTACTGGAGTCATGAAAATAAAACATTGTTTTCCCTCTCTGGTTCTGAAATCATAGACTGTATATTGTGATCAATGCCAGAAGGAGCAGCAACTAGATCTTGGCTTAAATCATGTATATTTAAAAGTTTTTTGTCCCTAGATGTATGTAGTAACTGAGGGGGAGGGAGAGGAAATCCTTTGAAATAAACCAGAATCCTAATGGAATAAGAAAACTCCCTCTAGTGCATTTTCTCCCTCTGTGTCAGCTTTTATAGTTCTGTTTCTGGTATGCATCTTTTGAGATTTCTTTAAAGATTGTTAAGAACTTTACTTCAGCAAACAATTCTCAGAGCCTGATCAAAGCTTTAATAAAAGGCATTGGTAATTGGTGAGGCAAAGGGTCAAAAGACGTTGCAGGCATGGAAGTGCAGGGATGCTTCCTCATTTGTTTTTACTTTCTATGATCACCAAAACGAAAAGCTGCATTTCAGGCTTGTGAACAGTTGTGCTTTCTTCCAGGAAGAGAAATGCTTGTATAGGGCACATATGTGTAAATACGTGTATTGAGAACTGTAACCAGTAACTTCATTTGCAGTTTCAGGTTTGTGTTATTTAATGTTAAGCTGTCATTAAGCTGCTCTTTCTCAGACTGACCCACCCTGTTGGCTAGCACTCAGTAAATGGTGAAGAACAAAGTTTGAAAGAAAACCTTGGAGGTTCAGATAGTGCTATAGGAAGCCCCTCCCAACAACACTTGGAAAGCCTGGAAAACATACAGTAGACCAAGTGTTTTGCTGAAGCTTTAAATGCTAGCAAAAAGCTTTCCAAGTTTTTACTGGCAAAAAGGCTCCTGGACTCACCTGCTGCTTTTTTTTTCTTTTCCCCTTAGGGGTGTACAACAAACAGTAAGCAGGAATACCTCTGTATGGAGTTCAGCTGAGCTACCAGCAAAATTCCTGTCTGAGAGCATATTGCAGTATGGGCTCAGCAGACCAGTAATGTGCTCTTGAGTTTCTTATTTAAACACAATGACAACACTCCAGTCTTTTTCCAAAATACTTTGTGGTGGGGAGACAGGGTGCATGTGTATGTGTGTGTATGTGTCTGTCTCGAAGTCCATGCCCTGAAGGTGAAGGGAGCAAATTTCATATGATACACCTTCAGGATCGAAGGTAAAGGAAATACAGGATGCACATCTGGAACTGCTATACTAATGAGAGAATTAAAAGAACACGAAGCAAGCATGGAGCATACCCATAAAACAGAAGGTCACATTTTTTAGCTCTAGGGCTAAGTTAAAAACCACATTTCAGTAACTCATTACGCACCCAGAATGTCTAAGGTATTGATTATTCACAGTGCCCAGGAGTGATGAAGGAATGCCACTTCTGATCCAGAAAGAGTGGAGATTAGCCGTATTAGCTTGGTGCATTGTTCACCAGGGGAAGGGGGGAGAATCATGGAGTGTTAAATGCTTTTTTTATGCTTAAGTAGAAATGGAGAATAGGGAAGACTATAACCCTGAGACATTTTTAGGTGTTTTCAACAATAACTGACTAAAAATGTATGTTTTCAAAATATGCTGAGTCTTACAGAAGGTAACAGTACTAAAACTTGTTTAGAGCAGGTGTTAATAATTAAAACTTTTTGCTTTCTATTTTAGTTCTGTTTTGTGGTATAGAAACACGTGTTTGTTCAGTGGTTTTTTATTTATATAATTTTGTTTTCCTTTTTATGCTGGTTGTGTAAAAACAAATAACAATCAACCAACCAAAAACCCCAAGGTGAATAAAGTAGTAAGAGGAATGGAAAGGAACTGACAATATCAAACATATGTAGTAGTGGAAGATGCACCCAGCACATGAAAAGAAGTGCGTATTCTTTTATATTGGAATAATTCTTGTCTTAAAATCTCAAGAAAAGAGCAAAAAGGAAAGGCTCCAAGTCTGCTGCATCTTTTGCACATGTTTAACTTCAGGCACTGTCACTGGTTTTGGTGGTAATGTGAGGGAGGTCAAACATATGGTAAGTCCTTGTGAAAATTAATCTCAAGGACTGTTGCCTAAGTGGTCTGTGGAGTCAGTGCTTGTCTGCAGAAGCCTGGCTGCTGCTGGTGTTTTGGGTTTTCTCTCTCCAGCTGTAAATCTCATTTTTAAAATACCGGTGTGTACCAGACTCTTTCCAAATAACACTCCTCAGTGCAATTATTTGCAATCACTGCCAGGGGGGCATTAGGAGGTCTCAAAGGGAGCAGAGTGTCTGCAAAACCCACTCTGCATGAAGATATGGTTCTTGCTCAAAAATATACAAATCTTGCATTAGGTCCACAGACTCAGAAGCCTTGGAGAAAATGTTTTTTCCTGTCACTTGCTGAAATCGTGAGTTTCTAAGCAAGACAATGCAGAAAAGGAAGAGAGAAGGAGCTGGGTAGTATAGGTTTTCCCTTCACAGTGTGAGAAGATGATTTTGCTCTCTCTGCAGCTGAACTAGGCGATCTTGAGTAAGCTGCTGGATTTTGTGTCTTGGGTTACTCAGCTAAATAGCTGTGCCT